AATAGAAGCAATTATCTAACGTATACTTCCCACCAACCCATCTATTTTTTTTTTGGTTTACCTTCTTTGCAAAATGCGCCAGTGAATCCAGTAGGACATTTACAACGAAATCCTTTACTGGTGTATCCAGCTTGACATGTGCCATTGTTGAAACAGGGACTGCTGCTGCAGGGATTCTTTTCAAAATAAAATTGAATTTGTTGGTTTTTGATTTTTTGATTAGTATTAAATTTTTGTTTAGGAGCTCCCGTCCCCTCTGAAAACCATGTGATCTTCTTAAATCCTCCACCCCCCACCCTTCAGGCATCAAATAATGATCAGTCTTTATAATACAGTTTTCTTTAAGTGAAAGCAAAACTTCCCAGGCATCTATGAAATTGATATTAGCATTCTCTGGTTTGTTTTTTTAATTCATAAGCTAATTTACAATGTAATGGCCTGCCATGGATGACCTCTGAGAAACAAAGCTAGCGTCACAAGCAAACTTCTGTTTTGACTCTGAATGCACACAGTTTGAAAGAGGGATTGTTCACTAGGTACATCAAGTACTTTACCTCAATACCAAGATAAATGTAATCCTTTTTACTCTGTAAAACACGTGAGCCTTTGTTGTCATCCGTGGCATTATTCAACTCACAAATGTATGTCCCTGCTTGAGGAGATGGTCCTATATTTATGGACACACAGTTGGGCTCCATATAACACATCACGTCACAGCTCCCCCGGTTGGGTATCTCCACAGCCCGGATTAAGTGGCCTTTTATGACCTTGCCTTGCACTGGTTCTTTGAAGATAATGGAGCGACATTCATCATCTATTAAGCGCGTGGAAAAATGAGACCTTGACATCAGAAGGGTTAATTCGTCTTATATTAACTACCTTGAGAGTCATAGAATGTCGAGTTTAAGGTAATCCCTACCATGGCCAGTGTGCTGTTTGTCAAATCACTGGACAAGAGAAATTGATTATTTTCCCGTTGTTTTCAGTTATGAAGGGTGAGGTATACCTTTTCCACCTAACAAACGTTTTATTTTAACTAAAAGAACTTTATTTCAGATAAACATAACGATCTTGAATGTATTCGTCCATTTGACCACAAATCACTGGTAAAATAACCGTCTCGTCGCTGCCTTCAATAACCATGTAATGAGTTCTTTCGGGGAAAAACGTAGCTTGAAAAGCATGAAAGCGAATTTCGTTTACTTTTATGTTTATGGCGAGTAGAAGTTAGTCTAGCGCAGAGAATCACCCATAATTAGGTTGAAACTTTACGCTGTAAGTCTTAAAAAAATAGGCTAAAGTTTGATTTGAATTTCTGGATTTTAACCTGTTTTCACAATTAGCTAGCAGATGCTTCATTAGCCTTTCAAGAGAGTTTTGTAGCTGAATCAACACTCTTTCAAATTCA